GACCTTCAAGGCCACATTGGTTCACAGGGTCACAGCTGAGAAGAGACCGCGAAGAGAGCGGGCTCTTGGAATTACGACTTTCTGTCCTGGCAGCTCTGGGTTAGAGAAGCCACCAGTCAGGAAAGAAAGCCTCGAGTCTCTGGGCTATTAGGGCCCCCTTTGCTGTGTGTCTGTGGATGGATTGCAGGGCTCTAATGCCTTCCAGCTCTGAAACTGCTCCTTAGAGAACGTTTTCACAGTGTACTCAAGTCCTCCTGGGGGCTGCCCCGGGACCGTGTGGGTCCTGGCTGACCCCATGGAGGACTAGGTTTATGGGAAGAGAGTGACCCCATGTCTTCTCCCACCTGGCTCCAAGCCCAAGCCCCAAGCCAGTCCTCATTTTGCCTCCACCCTGTCCTCCCTCCTGATTCGCATATTTGTGTCTAGTTTAAGATTTGGTACCTGGAGCAGAGCAGGGAGTTCCAGAACCCTACTGCAGGACAGAATGGGAGCGCCTGCCCTCCCTCATGTGCTGCTGCCCTCTGGACTGGCAGGCCTGCCCGTGGGTCCCTTGGTCACTCATGTGTCGTCGGGGCCTGGCACAGGGCCTGGCACACAGGCCATAGTGGATATTTAGGGAGGCGTAGGAGACCAGAATTAGAGCGTGTCACAGGGTGGTCGAGTGGCAGCCTGCTGACTGAGACCCCACTCCTGACCTTGTCTCTGCTCTTCCTACACCTAGGCCCACTGTGTCAGCGTTTGTGTCTGCACCGTGTTCATTCTCAACACCCTTGCTGGGATGTTGGGATGCTGTTTATGTGGCTCCGTAATCCCTCAGCAGGGAATCGATCTGTCCAGGTGGTCTGTGGGTCCTGGCTTGGCTGCTTGAATAATGTCTCAGGAGATTCTGCCTCATGTCCCTTCTGAGAATCAGCGAGCCCATTAGTGACTCACTGATGATTCTGTAAAGGAAACCGTCAGCAGATTGTGGTTTTACAGACCGGCTGGCCCAGAGCACCTTTAAAAGGTCAAGAATGAGAGAGGCCGATGAAATTTGATGATTCTGACCAGCCGATGGCAGAGCTGCACGGGCTCGATGCAGTTCAGTCGTGCACTGACGCGGCTGCAGCAGGAGGAGCGGGAGCTCGGAGCTTACGTGCCAGGCCTTTCTCAGAGCCTGGGGCATCAGAGCGAGATTCCAGAGAGAAGGGGGTATAGGCCCCTGTGGTTCCACTCGAGGGTTTTACCTTTGGATTGAGGAAGACCGCTCACCATGGGGAGCTGCAGCTTCCCAGCCCAGTTCCAGCCTAGAGGGAGAAGGCCCTCCGGCAAGTGACAGCGGGACTGAGAGTGGGGTGCAGCCGCCCGTGTGCCTCTCAGACCTGCCATGGCAGCCTTGCCTGGAGCTTGGGCCGGTCTCCCTCTGGCCCTTCATCCCTTTGTTGTTGACTGAGTATGTGTGGGCACCAGGCCCTCCAGTAGCCATCAGGTTTAGGACTCAGTTCCCTGTTAGGAGTTTATAGTCTGGAAAAAGGCAAAGCAATAGGCCACGTGTGATAAACTGCTCCTGTACACGGCCACTCCCCGTCCCACAGCATCCCCCACTGAGGAAAGGGTAGCCCCAGCTTCAGATGAGGAAACTGAGGCACAGAGAGCTTAAAAACTTGCCGGAGGCTGCCCTGCTCCCGAGTTGGGGGAACCCCAGGCCACCCCCAGGCAGCCTGGTTGCAGGGTCCAAGGCTCTGCACCTGCTCAGTGCTGCCTCTTGAACTGGAAGGATCGAAGAGGTCAGCAGAGGAGCCAGAGCATGCACTGCGGGAGGTGGGAGAGGCGGCGACTGCCCTGGGAATGCAGTGGCTTCACGTATGTTTGTCTATGTTATATCTATCCCACTTACTCTGGCTACCTAAATAATGGCTCAGACCACCGAAACATACGAGCACAAACCAGCCACTCATTTTGTTCACGGATGCTGTCAATCAGGAATGTGGACAGGGCGTGGTGGGGAGAGTTTGCGCCCGGTTAACGGTCTAGGCCCCCGTGGAATGCAAAGGCTGGGGCAGGAATTACTTGGAGGCTTGCTCACTCACTTGCTCACGCATCTGGCTGATGGTTGATGCTGGTTGTCAGCTAAGCGCCTCAGTTCCCCAACACAAACCTTCACGTGGGCTAGCTTGTGCTCCCCCCAGGTGGGTCTGAGGGCAAGCATGTTGAGGGAGAAAGAGCTAAAAGAGGACTTTCTTCCTTTTTTTTTTTTTAAAGAATTATTTATTTTATTAAATTTTTTTAAAATTTATTTGACCAGAGGAAGAGAGAGGAAAGGTAAGAAAGCAAGTTGCCAGGTTGAGGACTCGAATCATGGTCAGGTGTATGGGAGCCCAGCACCTCCACCACTGCGCCACCTGCTGGCCCGAAAGAGGCCTTTTCTTTTCTTTTTTTTGGAGAGGTTTTTGCTATAGGGCGCGTGCGCTCACCAGACAGAGAGAGATAGAGAGACAGAAAGCGAGAAATCACCCCCCAGGGGGGATGGTCACGCCACCATCCCTTCTCCATTCTCCTCTCAGGATCTTGGGCACACACGCACACGTGCCCGGCGTGAGTTTTAAGCCACCGGGTCCGGGATGCGAACCACGGTCGGCTACGTGGGAGTCCAGTGACATAGCCATTACACTAACGGCTGATTCCCGAAAGAGGCCTTTTCTAACCCCAACATCAGATGACACTGGAGAGTGTCACTTCTGCCGTGGTCACCCAGGTGCACCCAGACATAAAGGGAGGAGACAAGACCCTACCTCTTCATGGAGGGCTGTCAGCATCACCGGGCGTGGCTGTCTTTGGGAAATAACCACGTGTTACAGTCTCGCTGGGCCCAGCTTAGAGTGAACTCATCCAGTTCACATGCTTCGTGTGGGTTTGGACAAAGGTTATCAGGCTGACGTCGGGTTTGGCTCAGTGCCCACCCCCTGTCACTGCTCTAACGTTCTTGTCAGTAAAGAGTGATCTGGAGGTCCATGGAGATCCTGCTGTCACTGCACATCCGCCTCCGCCCCCTCTCCAGGAGCTGGTGCACATGGTCCTCAGCCCCATCAAGGGGCGTCCGGGCTGGAGGAGGGCAGGCAAACGGTAAGGGCCGACGGCCACACCTGGGAGCACTGCCACATGTGCTCACTCTCCTGAGCTCTTTGCACACTCACCCAAACCTCACAGCCACCCAGCAAGGTGGGTCCTCCCGCTGTCCCCACTAGTCGATGAGAAAGCCGAAGCCCAGAGAGCTCGCACAGCCAGTGGTGGCAGAGCCGCTTCTGTGAGGGACAGTTACAGAAAAGAGTCTTGTTTGTGCAGAGTGTTACCTGGAGGTGACTGGAGATGGGAGTTCTTAATAGATCGCAGCAACCCCAAGTGGGTAAAGCACCCCAAAACGTGTTCCTTTCCAAGTTGCCAGGGGCCAACTTTTGCCTGAAAGTGTATGGCCAGAGTTCTCTGTGCTCCAGTCTAAGGCAATTCAATGTGGGTGAGACCGGCAGGTGGCGTGGGGGTAAAGAGCCCTGGGATCCCACATAGCCGACTGTGGTTTGAGTCCCGGACCTGGCAACTTGCTTTCTCACTTTCCCTCTTTCTCATTCTGTCCCTCTCTCGTCAAATTAAAATAAATAAATTAAATAATTCTTTCTTTAAAAAGAAGTGTCTGTGGGTGCCTAGAACGTGCCAAGTGTCATGCCTGCGTTCTGAGCAGGAAAGGCCCTCTCTCTCGGGCTCACAGTCCTAGGGGAACAGATGGTAATTATGCCATAGCATGAGGGATCCTGGGAAGTGTCCGCAGATCGGGTTCTGGGGGTGAGAAAGTGCTCACCTGCATGGCAGTCACTGGACACTTCCCGGAGTGGGCGCTGAGCCGAGTTCCGAGCACCTAGGAGGGCAGAGGGAAGGGTGCTCCAGGCAGCAGGATCTGAACGTGCTGGGACGCGATGTGAGAAGGGTCATGTCACCTGCTGAAAGGCCTTGCGTGTCAAGCCGGGTGGCACCAGGGAGCCTTGAAGGACTCTGCTGCCGGGGGATGGCAGCATCGTGTGAGAAGGAACCTGTGTCCCTTGCCCTTACTCTCCTGACCCTGCCATCACCTTCCCCATGGCCTTGTTCCCCTTCCCTTCCCCTGCATTCTCCCCTGTGGCAGTCTCCGCTGCGCCTCGTACTCCTCCCCTGCACGCCCTGCTCCTTCTCTCACTCCTGGCGCATCTGTGCACTCCGAGCACCGGGCAGGCAGCAGCCCCCGTCTTGCTGACCCAGCTGGAGTCCCCTGACCAGGAGGACCTGGGACCTCGCAGCGTGGAGCTGTATTTATAGCAGCAGTGTTTACGGCATGTCTCCTGCGCCTGCCGAACTGTGGGTCCCTGCGGTGACGCTGAGCTGTGACCGGTGCAGAATGCGCTGACGAGCTTCCCAAGACATCTGCGCCACATGCTGTGGGCCTCGTGTGGTCACAGCCGGTGGTGCCGTGCCTGTGGCTACATGCAGGCCTCCGAGTGCATGAAGGCCCTCTCTCATTGCTTCGAATTTCTCCTGAGACCCCTCTGGGCATGTTACGTGGTCTTGTAAATTCTGCATCTACAACACAAACAAGTGCCCTGAACTAGCGAGTAGCCAGGGCGCCAGTCCCATGTGCCCCGGTATACACACCACCAGCTCTCCCGGGCTTCCCGGTGCCCACCGGGCCTGACTCCGCCCTGCCCTCTAGATCCCGAATGTGCCGTAACCGCTCCCTGGCATTTCTTTATGGCGTTGCCACCAGCGTTGGCACACGGCCCCGAGCAGTGTACCTCAGCTGAACTTGATTTTGAACTTAGAAACGGAATGGGAATCGTAGGTCCTTTGGACCAGTCTCTTTTGCACAGTCTCTGTCCCTGAGGCCCCTCCCGGTTGCCGTGGTGGCGGTGGCTCTCTTGCTGGGCTTTCTGTTTAGAAGGCTGCCCCCTACTCACCCACTGTGCCGGTGCGAGTTGTTTTCTCTGGACCTCCTTCCACAGCCTTGGTCATATACAACTTCCTGAGCCTGTGCTATGAGTACCTCGGGGGAGAGAGCTCCATCATGTCGGAGATCAGAGGGAAGCCCATCGAGTGAGTATGAGGTCTCCCTGGAACCTCTCCCCGTCGTGTTCCCTGGGCCGGGCATTCCGTGAGCTGTCTTGGTGTCAGCTGGATGCACAGACTCTGTCTGTCTGTGACCTTGACCTGCTGTGCCTCTCCCACGCTTCCTGGGCAAGGCCGTTCACTCACTCGGACTGCGGAGAGGGCTTCTCTGGCTCCTCCTCTCTTCCTGTCGGCCTCAGTCCTTTCCTGTTTGTCTGTTTCTCCAGCAGTTCTTGCAGCCCTCTGTCCCTCACCGCCTGCCACCTGTGCGGCCACTCTGCTGCACCCCTCCCTGTGCTGGCCCTTGGGCTTGAAGACTGCCCCAGATCTGTGTCCCGGGCTTGTCTGGTTGGAGAAGGGTGGCCTTCCCCAGCCCCGCCTTTCCCGAGTTCTGGCTCTCGGCTCATCGCCGCCTTCTCCTACGCTTGTCCCCAGGTCCAGCTGCATGTACGGCACCTGCTGCCTGTGGGGAAGGACCTACTCCATCGGATTCCTGAGGTTCTGCAAACAGGTGTGCCCTGAGCAGCTGCCCAGGCTGAGAGGAGTGGGCCAGGGACCCTGAGCCCCACCTGTGGAGTTCCTGTGACCGCTGAGTTCCCCCAGCCCTCAGCACCCGCTCTCCCGAAGCTGTTAGGGTGTCACCGTGTTAGTCAAAAGGGCTCGGGGGCAGTGGCGGGTGTCCCAGGGGTGTCTGAGAGGAACTACTCCCAGACTTGCTCCGATGGCCTGTGTGAGCATCAGAGGAAGTGCATGGGTCTCTAGCCTCAGTCTGAGAACTCCCATCAGCTACGGCTAGAGGGCAGGAGGGTTTCAGCATTAAAGACGCATGATCCCGCGGGGCTGTGCCATCTCTCCCATATTTCCTAGTTGGTAGTCTGGTGACCTCAGGTCGCCTCTGCTGGCTGCCCTGTGGTCTGGAGCAGCCTGGGTGAGGTCAGCGTGTGGGCCTGGGCGACTGACCATCTGCGTTAGACCTCCTGCCTCTCTGACTGGGTGGCCTTGCGTTATTACTTCTCAGGGCCTCACTTTGCTCTTCTGTAAAATGGACATAGCAGTCCTTATCTCAAGGCAGGCTAAGGAGCAGATCAAGTAGTGGGTGTGAAGTGTGTCACAGCCCGGCCCAGAGCCCATGGTCTCGTTCAGGGAGATAGAGTCAGGATGCCACAGCCAGTCTTCCTGACCTCATGTCAGTCTCCTTGGGGGCTCCCCAGAGCCTCTGAGCGCTTCCACGACCAGGAACAGTCATGAAGAGAAACTGAACCCACAGCGAGTCACCGTGTTTGGCCGGAGGGCTGGCCTGCCTCCTCCCTTCCATGCAGGCCCGTGGCCCACAGCATGGCCAGACCCACCACGCATCGCCTGGCTGTGCCAGGTCTCCCATTCCCCCTGCAGGTCTCCCTTTCCTGGGGTGTTTGTCAATTCCAAAGCTCACCACCAGAGCTGCAGGGAA